ATCGAACCATAATGGAAAAAGCAAGAACTATGATGCAAGAAGCTTCATGCGATCATCGTTTTTGGGCAGAAGCTGTTAATACTTCCGTTTATTTAATTAATAGGTCTCCTACCAAAGTTTTACCTGGTGTTACGCCCGAAGAAAAATGGTCCGGTAATAAAATAGACCTCGGCCATTTAAAAGTATTTGGTTGCATTGCTTTTTCTCATATTCCTAAAGAAAAGCGAAACAAACTTGATGCAAAAAGCCAAAAACTGATATTTGTGGGTTACAGCGAGGAATCTAAAGCATATAGACTTTTCAATCATCAAACTCAGGAAATTGTAAGGGCTCGAGACGTTGAATTTTGGGAAAATAATTTTTACAATGACAATCTTAGCCTGCCGGCGAGTAACAGCAAAAGTATAGTTGCTTTAAATGACTTATTTTCTCTGAGTTCGTCTTCAAATTTCGAAGAAATACCTCTTCAAGAAGATTTGGAAGCAATCCAAGTTCCAGAAGCTGTGGACGATAACGCCGATATCAGTGAAGAAGAGAACGCCTTACAACAACAAACCCCAACTATACTACCTCCAGAGCCTAGATATTCACAGCGAGAACGTGTTCCTAAAACGTATCCAGACTTTATACTTTACCAAACTATATGTAAAGTTGAAGAACCGGAGGAACCTGAAACTGTTAATGAAGCTATATCTGGAGAATACATTAGGTGTAGAAGACATACAGAAATGGTTGTTTGAAAATGGTCTAACAATTTCAGAAAACAAGTCAGCGGTAGTTTGCTTTACAAGGAAAAGAACTCAACTTTCAAATGTTGCTTCACTAGGAAATTGTCAATTTCAACTTAAAAGTAGTCATAAATTCTTGGGTGTCATATTGGACAAGAAGCTAAACTGGAAAGAACATATTAATTATATTGTAAAAAGAACAGAAAATGCTGTAAATTTAATAAAAACTGTTTCCAAATATAATTGGGGTGCAGACCCCAACATAGCAATTCTTTTTTATAGGGTGCTGATTAGGTCAATTTTTGTGACTATGGTGCAATATTATACAATGATGCATCAAATACTCATTTGCAAAAATTGGACAGAATAAAATACAAATGTCTTAGATTAAGTATAGGTTTTCTCCCAAGTACTCCAATTAATGTAATAGAATCAGAAACTACAGAACCTCCTCTCAATTTCAGAAGAAAATGTTTATCCGAAAAGTTTTTAATAAATCAAAGGTCGAAAAATTCGGTTCTTCTCCCCCTTTTATCCAATTTATCTTCTCTGTGTTTAACTGGAAAGTATTGGTCAAAGAAAAAAAAAATTCACCTAATTTATTAATTATTAGTCCTGTCCAGTGTCGGATTGGGCCGTTGGTCTACATGCAAAAGACCGGTAGGCCTTCGTTCAAGCTGTGGGTCCTCTTTCAGGCAGTGGGTCCTCGTTCGGGCACTGGGCCTCAATCAGTGGGCCTAAGTTAGTGGACCTCAGTCTGTGTGCCCTTGAGAATAAGAAATGCGAAATAACCCTTAAAAAAAGCATCAATGTGCAAAGAAGGCATTTTTGCTCTTCAGGAAAACGGCCCATGAAAAAATATTGATAGGCCCACCTATCAATATAGGGCCTTCTCCGTTCTGACCGGTAGGCACTGGAAGTCCCGATCCGACACTGCTCCTGTTTGTCCAAGAGATTTAAAACCTGTCATTAAGAAATTTATATAGCTCTATTTTTTCAAATTGCAGGTAAAAAGATTATATCACAGACATTTTATGTAATGTTTAGATTGTATTACAATAATATATTTCTTCTTCTTCTTCTTCTTCTTCTTCTTCTTCTTCTTCTTCTTCTTCTTCTTCTTCTTCTTCTTCTTCTTCTTCTTCTTCTTCTTCTTCTTCTTTCTGTTTAATCTCTTATCAAATTGCACTTCCAATTTTCTATTTAATCCCTCATGAAATTTCTGTTAAAAGATTATATTTATATTTTCTCCACTTTCTAATTAGTATTTATCAACAAGTATTAGAAATTAAAAATTTAAAAAAACCGACTTCAAAAACGTGCAGATGCCGTCACCACATCTTAACCAAATTTATATGGGACCACCCCTGAGGTATCCCCTTACTAACAAAAAAGAATCATATAAATCGGACAAGGTGGTAAAGCATTATGGCTAAACATACATAAAAAATGAAGAGTTTGAGGATTTTCTCACAGACCCAATTATTATATTTTGACCAAATTTATATGGGACCACCCCTGAAGTACCCCCTTTCTAACAAAAAAAGAATTATTGAAATCGAACACCGTGTTGAAGAATTATCGCTGAACATACATAAAAAAAAAAAATAGCGACGAATTGATAACCTCCTCCTTTTTTGTTCATTAAAATTAAATTACTAAGTAATACACGAAAAAATGAAAATATTTATAATTTTGTACATAAGTATTTTACGGAGGAAAAAGATATCGGAGGACCTTTAAAGCCAGTAGTGAGTGTGCATGAACGCGTCTGTACAGCTCTCGGTATTAGTGATTCAAAATTAAAATATGTTTTGAAAAACGTCAAAAGCAGAGAGAGCAAACAAAAGAAAAAATACACAACTCGCAAAAAACTGAAAACGTCGGATATATCTGGTGGGACAAAATTTCGTATTCGTGATATGGTATATGAAATGCGTGCGAAAAAGGAACATGTCAACTTAGACACATTGCTGGCTAACTTAAGAGAAATACAAATTGGTGAATTTGGCAAAACAAGTCTTTGGAATTTGCTTAAGGAAATAGGTTTCAAATTTAAGAAAGAAGATAATAGAAAAGCTTTATGTGAAAAAAATAATGTTGTTCACAAAAGAATACATTTTTTAAGAGAATACACTCATTTAAAAGAGAATGGAGCTTCGTTTATATATTTGGATGAAACCTGGATATTTTCCAAAGGTGGGACGAAAAGAACATGGCAAGATGAAAATATAAAATCAATAAAACATACTAATGGTGAGGGAAAGCGACACATCTTGCACGCAGGTGGAAAGAATGGATTTGTGGATGGTGCAGGATTAATATGTTCAAGACTACCACGATAACATGAACTCGGATATATTTATCAAATGGTTAAATGAACAACTATTACCAAATTTAAGTGAACCGTCTGTTATAGTGTTAGATAATGCGGGCTATCACACAGAACTTTTAAACAAACCGCCAAGACAGAATTCGACTGTAGCCAAAATACAAGAATGGCTACGTAACGAAAATGTTGCATTTCCACAATACGTCCTTAAATCTGAGTTGTTAACTTTAGCCAAACAGCATGAACCACCACAAATGTATGTGGAAGATCAAGTCATACATAGTTATGGACATAATGTGTTACGGCTTCCACCGTACCATTGTCAGTTTAACCCCATCGAACACATTTGGGGTATATGTAAAACGTATTATGACAATCATATTGGAATTAATGGTTACAGCGACGAAGCAGTAAGGGAAATATGGAAACAAGCACTGGATACATCAACCCCAGAAATTTGGCAAAAAAGTGTTCAAAAATGTGATAAATTAATTGACGACTGGTGGACACGTGAAAACAGGATAAACGAAATTAACCCTATAATTATATCCCTTAATGATGACAGCGACGCTAGTGACACAAATTTTGAGAGTGATGCTGAAGATTTATAGGTATGTCAAAAGACAATTATTTATAATAATCATTGTTTAATATAGAATTTTAAAAGTTATGTTATTTTTAATCATCGTACTTACTTAATCGCAGGGTAAAACTGTGTATGTAAATAAATTAAAATTTTTGTTCTGAATAAACTATTATTAAACAACAAAATAATGTAACTCTCTTTTAAGCTTTCTGAGGCAAAATTAAATACCTAGTAGAGTAAATGTTTAAAATACAACTGACCAGTCAAATCTTTCATGTATTTCTTAATCCGATATGGGTGTAAATTCAGTGAATGACCTATACCTTAAAACGTTGAAGAGAAAAAATGGCCCAACGAATATGGTGGAGGGTTTAATATTTCTTGTAGATGGACGGTAGCGTAGGTGTAAGTGTCTACGGCGCTTGCATTTCATTTGCGAACAATTTTGTGGTAGAAAGGGCTTCGAATTCTACAGAAGACCATGTGAATTTATTTGCATGGTTCTCTATAGGATTTGAAGGATGCCGTATTAGCAGAAATTTAATTTCTGTTGATATGACATCCAGATTAAAGTCGCCAAGCGCCGTTTCGATGATGGTAGGTGGGATTTTCCGGGTTTTCCTCAGCTGTAAGTCAAATGGCACCATCAATCATCTTTAACTCGCACCGGAGCGCTACGGCAAATAATAATAATAATAACCGCCCCTTTCCCTACACAAGTCGCACAGTCGGCTTCAGGGGTTGAAATTCACTCGTAAGGGGGTGAATTAGGGAGAGTATTATTATTATTAAATGAAATAAATTTAAAAATAAAACTTCATCTTGTTCTCGTTCTGTCTCTTCTTACTCCAGGTTTCCAAGATATGTACTCACCTTTGTCACTTTGAATGTCTCGCCATTCGTTGCCCTATAATTCTATCATCTACTATTTTATTATCTTAACGATGTCTTCTTCTTTTAGTACCGTAATATTTCTCCTTTTTTTACTTCTGTATTCTCCATCCGCTATTTTAACTGATCCCTAAATCTTTCGCATATGTTGTCTTCTGTCTTCAGTTTTTCTTCATATTTATTTGTAATTATCATTATAGTAGTATCGCTCTGCTATTGTTACTTCTTGATACTTCTCACGTAGCTGTCAAATTCTTTATTAGACAAATCATTAATCTCTTATTTCAAAAAATATCTTAACCATTGCTAAGCAGCGTTGGAATGCGATTCGATTTTGATTGAAACTACCTAATGATATTAGTTTTGGAAGTATTCTTTATTTTTGTGTTCCGTTTGATCGTTTCATTTTTCGTTTTTCTGGTATTTATTGTATTTCTTTTAAAATGTCTTCTTTATCTTGCAGGGCTCGAACCTGTACCCGGAGATGCAGTGGTTCAACCGGGCATCGAGTTAGGTTCAGAATGTCTTGAAAATGCGAGGAGGCACAGCAGGACTATCAGTAAGTCATTTTTTACGTATTTATGGGTATTTAACCATGTGATACTAAAACCGACAAAATGAGCTTACTTCGTGTATAGTTATGGAAATACCCCTAAAGTAAAACAAATAATGATTGAGAGTAGAAATAGGCCCAGTTGATGGCAAATCGGAGGCGTGCTTATTAATTTTTGAGAGGGTTAAGAATGAACCAAAAATACTTAGTACTATTTAAAATAATTACAAATTTATTATTTATTTAAAACTTTGCAATATCGTAATTTTCCTAATCGTTGTAGTAATTAGTTGGGCTTTATGAAAACGGAGTAATAATTTTGGTAATTATAGTAGGTACCAAATAAATTAACAATATTAATAAAAATCACAATGTATATTTAAAACTAAAAATAAGAAAGATACCTAAATATAAGGACTTCTTTTTGTATGCAAATTTTCGTCCAATCTTCAACCTCAGATTGTTGGTTGTCTACGTCCCACATTTTTTGCTCTTCTTTTAAAACATGCTGAATGCATTTCTTCCAGTCTTCTGCAGAAACATTATTACAGGATTATAGGATTATAGCGCTCTTAAAATGAGTATCTTTATTAAAAGAATTTATGTACCCAGTACCATTATTTATATCGTTATAATTACTTAATATTTAGGAAAAGAGAATTTTCATGTAGATAAATTTATCTTACTTGAACCTAGTTGTACTTTCGGAGTTGATATCTCTTATACTCAATTCTTCTTGTCTGTTATTTACTATTTCCTAAGGTAGTCGATTTTCTTTAGTAAGTATACATTCCAGGGATGTGTCTCCTAAAATTATGAACACAATACAGAAGATGTATATATTTTTATTACCTAACTAAGTTAGAAATTAATTAAATATTTATTATTTTAAAAATGGTTTTGTTTACATTATTAGATATATGACAAGGATAACATCTGAGATGTGTCAATCATTCTTGTGCAATAAAACTTTCATGAAATGATTCTTAAAGTAACTTAAAAGTATATTTGGTGCAAAGTATGTGATGAGAACCTTCTATCTTTCTTTTTCTCTCTATACAAAGAGATATCTATCTCACTTCTTACCTAATTAATTTAATAATAGGTAATTTAAGGAGTAGGTCAATAAAATTAAGCTTTGAAACAGGAAGTACCTGAGTAAGGTTAAATCTGACATTCTTCTTAAGGAGTTCATGAGATCCGCATGACAGATTTGTAATTTGTTACAGTTTTTGATTTTGTAAGCTAAGCTATCGATACCTACTAAGAGTTGTTCCAGTTGGAAACTTTTCCTATTAATTGAATTTGAAAGGGATCATAGCTACAATTTACTTCGATTCATACTCAAGTATTCCCTGCTCCCTGCTTAGAAACAAGCATTTTTACCCTAGGGCCCCATTACATACCTGGCTGTATCCCTTCGGATATCTTCAGTTTCTACCCTGAATATACTTCTATAAATACTTCTGAATATACTCATGTATATACTCCTTATTATCCTGTAAATACTCCGCATTATCCAGTTAGGATTGATTGAGGCACATTTACCCGGAGATCACATTGTACTATCCAAGGGTGCACAAACGGACAATACAAGTATTTAGTTGATTCCAGGACTCTTTAACCATCAATACCAGGTAACTTTAGTTAAGTTCATACCCCAGGCGACAAATCTCTCACTAGAGGCTCAGTATATAGAAAAGGAAATATATCACGTCTATTTCTTGAGACTACAAGGAAATATATTGCTTAAATATTCGACCTTACTTAGATACGTACTTAGATACATATGCTTTTTATTATTTTATATTAGTAATTAGCTATAAAGTTTAGAATAAGAAGTACCTGTAATATTTTCCATCAGCAAATTTTCGAAATGGAAACTCTAGATATGCTTATTTGAGAGTCGTAAATATTTCCATATGTCGCATAACACATAACATTCTTAAATTACTTGAATTATGCCATAATTTATAGCTTAGTTTTACTTAGTTTTGAATCGTCTAGGGACAAGTACATTTTTAATTGTTCATAACCTTAATTTGTCACTTTTGTCAAAGTCACTCATACATCATTTATTTCATTTAAACATAGACCAACACCAGATAGATAACCACCCAATCTATGAATTAAATTCCATGAAATATTATTCATTGTATTTTTTTTGTACCCATTTCCCTGAGAGAAATTAGTTCAGGGGTAGATAGTGATACACTTTGGTAAAAATTGGTAACCACGTTTCTTTTTTCCACTATCTCCCCTGATAAAATTATAACAGTAGGTCGGGCTAAAATAACGGTTATAACATTTTGAATGGCTTCTTGTAGGAATTGTTGCACATCCACTAATTTAAATGTTCTGTTTTCTCGTGCCACATATCCTTTTACTTGCGCCCAGATTAATTCTATTGGGTTTAATTCGCAGTGGTACGGTGGTAACCTTAAAACTGTAATTTCACGCATATTTGTCTGTTTGTAATTTTGTTAGCTGAAGTTGTTCTGCCTTTAAACTATCTTTTTTATATTGGATGTTTTTATTTACCATTCTTGAATTGCTGCTTTTTTCCATGATTGTTTCGGTAATGATTCTAAATGCCGACTATGATATGGAGCATTGTCCATGACGACGACAGATTCAGGTTCCACAAGTTGAAAGATCAAACCATTTTTCAAACACTTCCGCATTCATCTCTTAATGCTTGTTTTCTTAGATTTAAATATTAATTCACCATTTGGTAAAATCCACTGTCGCTTCCTATATGCGTATCAGACGATTACCTTTTTCAGACGGCTGTTTTAACCCTGCTGACAAGCCTTCAATAAAGACTTGTCTTGCACTTGTTATGTGACCGTCCTGCCATACGTTTTTGACCGTATGTCCTTGGTTAACCCACGTCTCATCCATGTAGTAAATTTTTTTTGAGTATCCAAAATTCGTCAATTTTTCTGAGGTAATTTCTTCTCCATACTATTATTTCTTGAAGTTCAATGAGAATGCGTTTCCTGACGACTTTTCCGTACGTAAATTTTATTTCGTGTAAAATTTTCCTCAGTTTCTTTACTCATTTGTGGGACCAATTCATGATCGCTAACTGCCTCCAGAACTTTTTGCAAAGTGGGCAGCTCATTTCTGAAAAAGAAACTGTGAATACTGTTTTTGGCTGCTTCATCAACTGTGATTTTTTTTTCGTCCGCTACTAGTTTTTGGCGTTTACTTCTTCATGAATTTTGTTTTCTCTTAGTATTTTGTAAACCGATGATTTTGGTACACCCGTATAATCAGAACACATCAACTAATTTATCTTTTGCAATTGTGGAAGCTAATATATTAATGATCACAAACAACTTTATTTCCCAGCTTGCTGCGTTTCGTACAATAAATGAGATGTAATCTAGATTTACGGAATAAACTGTTTCCCGTCTCCCGAGACAAACGAGTATTCCTTCAAAGGATAATTGTTTGACAGTTTAATCTTACAGAGATAGTTTAAGTAAACAAACATCGTATATAACATTCATTTATTCTTAGCACGTAATCTTCTCTATCTTGGAAAATTATCTGATTCCAAAATTTGGCGTTAATAATTTAATCATTTGAGAATTATCGCACGCGATTTTCATCAATAGGTACATATGTCCCACGAGTTACACCCAGCTGACAATAAAACTGCTGACTTGAAGAAAACGGCCAAGGCTAATCATCTGTTCTTTTAAAATATTATCTCATTCTTTTTTCTAACGTTGTTGAATAAAATTGTCATTAGAAGTTGTAAATTTGCTTTTTAAAAATCTATTTTTTGTATTATTATATTTAATTCACGTGATCTGATAACATAGAAATAGCCTTTATTAGCAGGGCTGGTATATCTAAGGGGGTCGCGACATAGACCCAGTAAATGGATGAGGGGGTGACTGAGGCTAGGGGGGAAATAGTAGTCAGCTTAAGTTGGCAACACTTTTCTGATGTTCGTTTGGTGAAATCCACGGTTATCGTTTGTCCTGCCGTAATAGTATTATAAAAACAGAGACAGATCTACTTTTAACGTGCATAATAATGTCAATATGGTACAAGTGGAATGAGCCACTGTTTTCCTCGTAGTCGAATGTCGAATTAAAACTAAAAACATTTTGTACTTTTTTATATACCTAATTATGCAATTTGTTTCCACTTTATTTTAATGTTACATGAATAGGTACATACGTTTGTGCTGTGGTAAATAAGTGTTCATGTGAAAATTATCTCTGAAACTGCATTGTGACTGCACTCATCTCAAAACTGAATGCTGTAAATCCAGAATTTAAATCTTTCATAGTGTTGCTTGGGATAAATTGTAAAAAAGGTGTTTGACAAAACGTTTACAACCTAAAATTCCATGGAAAACATAGAAGAAGAAATTTTACCTTTATGACATTCTCTTTCAACATTTTTAAGTGACTAAGTTTGTGGTTTGGTAAATGGTCTCAGTTAGGTACCACAGTCAAAAAATTCAAATTAAAAAAAAAAAGTGACCAAGTTCTAATAAGAATACATAAGTTGAATATGAAAATGTAATTACTTGATTTAAGTGTGATTTAATTAAGAGCTAAATAGATGTTTCATATAAACAAAGTGCTGAAAAATGTTGATAAATGCAAAACCATTATTAAAGAGAAATTAGTTATCATCAATAGGATATTTTGTAGTAGCTGGTCTCTTTAAAACTTAAAAGACTGTGAGTTAGTAGTCACTTTTACACTAGAAGTAAAACAAAACAAAAATGTGTGGTTGAGACTAATTTATGTATTTAATAAAAACATATATTTAACATGTTTTATTTAAATAAAAAACAGGTGTTATTTGAAATATTTTATTTTAGTTTAATAATGTTTATAAATTGTGGGTACATTTGATCCGAATCTTGCTTAATACTATAAAATGCATATGCATTTTTATATGGTTAGTATTGGAGTAGAAGCACAAAAGTTTTGATTAAAAATATATTCTTTAAATACAATATTAACTAGATA